ACGCATGTCATTGTAAAGCCTCGAAACGTTCACCCACCACTTGTGATGCCCCCGAAGCCCCGTCTTCCTGTTCAGAAGTTCGGCGGCCCATTTCATGGCCCGAGGCCCTGGAACCGGGAAGTCGGGGAAGGCCGCCTCCCGCAGCTTCTCGACCCTGTCGCGCCAGAGCCTCCTGCGTCGCCCGCCGTCGGAGTTTGTCACCTCCAGCAGCCTGGCGTCCGAGGCGATCTCCTTCCCTTTGCACTCGGCGGCGCTCGCGATGGCGACCTGGGCGAGGCAGATCCAGACGTCTCCACCAATAGGGAACTCCATCAGCGCCCTCTCGCCCCGTACGATTTCCGAGCCGTTGAACTGGACCACGTCGCCTCGCGCGAGACCCGCTCGCGTCTCCACGCTCACCCAATGGTGGGTCGCCAGCGCCGCGCCAGCCGCCGCCGCCAGCGCCCCCGCCAGCACGCCCACGCCCGCGGCAGCAGCGGGCACTCCCGCGCCGCCCGCGCCTGCTGCCACCAGGGCGCCGACACCAGCTGCTGCGGGCCACGCCGCCTCTGGCCCCGCGCCGCCCGCGTGCGGCATCGGCAGCAACGCAGGAGCGCCCAGCGCCAGCACCGCCAGCCCGCGCCCGGCCGCATTCGCCGCCTTGTATGTGCGTGCCGCCGCCTCGGCCTCGCCTCGCCACTGCACCAATTCCGCTGGCGTCGGCTCAGCGCGGAAACGGTAGCACTGGCCGCGAGGGAAGCCCTCCGGTGGCGGCCAGCGCACCGCGGCCCGGCGGAAGGCGACCACGTCCCCCGTCGTCATCCAGTAGTCCTCGACATACGTGTCGCCTTCGGGAGATGTGATCACTACCTCCTCGTCAGTCCCCAATGACCCCACCACCCCGTGGCACGAGCGTTGATGCCAGAGCAGCGGGGCCGGAGCGGCAGGGTCGTTGTACAGCGCATGCCCCCACGCCAGGGGCTGACCCGCCATCTTTGGACGTCGTGTCGCGCGTGCTCGTCTCGACGACAACTCCACCACGCGCGTGCCACGACGCCAAACCCCGCGGCCACGCCCAAGGCAGCCCAACTCCAGCCGACCCTGACGGCGGGTTCCGCCTGGAACCGCCAGGCAGGCCCTGGGTCGGGGGCGCCTGGACAAGCGGAGCAGCCAGGGCAGGCTGGACGCTGCGGGCACGACGGAGGACGCCCCGTCCAGAGCACGGCTGCCAGCCCAGCCTGGTGCACCACATCCCCCCACCACGCCGAGCGCGAAGGGCAGCACACTGGCCATTCGCGCCGGCGGTACGCCTGGCGAAACTATGGAACAGATGCGGCCATGGACGCTTACGATCGCCAGACGATAGCTGTGCAAGCACAAACACATGTATCGTAGATTGTGGGTCAAATCGCAGTGGAACGGATACCCCCAATCGGGAAATCGTTTCGTTTCGTTCGTGTCGTGCGTGCGGGTGAGGTGAAGCTGCGTGGGCGCGCGAAAGGAATGAACCCACCGCTGCTAAGGCGAGGTCAAAACAAATGTTTTTTCCCCGTCCGTCCGGCGGTGGCTTGAGCGGTGTCCCGCGCTGTCCCGTGGTGTCCCGTGGTGTCCTGTGGCGTCCGCCGTTGCTAGGGTGAAATCAATACAAATGTTTCTCCCCCGTCCGTCCGGCGGTGGCTTGAGCGGTGTCCCGCGCTGTCCCGTGATGTCCCGTGGTGTCCGCCGCTGCTAGGGCGAAATCAAAACAAATGTGTCTCCCCCGTCCGTCCGGCGTTGGCTTGAGCGGTGTCACGCGGTGTCCTGTGGTGTCCAGTGGTGGTGTCCGCCGCTGCTAGGGCGAAATCAAAACAAATGTGTCTCCCCCGTCCGTCCGGCGGTGGCTCGCGGTGTCCCGCGGTGTCCCGTGGTGTCCCGTGGTTTCCCGTGGTGTCCGCAGTTGCGAAGGCGAAATCAAGACAAATGTTTCTCCCCCGTCCGTCCGGCGGTGGCTCGCGGTGTCCCGCGGTGTCCCGTGGTGTCCGCCGCTGCTAGGGCGAAGTCAAGACAAATGATTATCCTCCGTCCGTCCACCCGGCGGTGGCTCTAGCGGTGTCCCGTGGTGTCCCGTGGTGTCCCGTGGTGTCCCGTGGTGTCCCGTGGTGCCCCGTGGTGTCCCGTTGAGTGTGATCGATAGTGTAATCGATAGTGAGATTGATACTGAGATCGATGTGGTGCCCCGAAGTGTCCCGTGGTGTCCAGTGGTGTCCCAAAAAGGGAGATCGATAATGAGATCGATAGTGAGATCGACAAGTGTCCCGTGGGGTCCCGTGGTGTCCCGTGGTGTTCCGTTGAGTGAGATCGATAGTGAAATCGATACGGAGATCGATGCGGTGCCCCGAGGTGTCCCGTGGTGTCCCGTGGTGTCCCAAAAAGTGAAATCGTTAGTGAGATCGTTTGTGAGATCGACAGGTGTCCCGTGGTGTCCCGCAGTGTCCCTTTGAGTGAGAAAGATCGTGAGATCAATACTGAGATCTATCGTGAGATCGATGTGGTGTCCCGTGGTGTTTCGTGGTGTCCCGTTGAGTGTGATCGATAGTGTAATCGATAGTGACACCGATAGTGAGATCGAGAGGTGTCCCGCGGTGTCCCGTGGTGTCCCGTGGTGGCCCGTGTTGTCCCGTGGTGTCTCGCTGAGTGAGATCGATAATGAGATCGATAGTGAGATCGACAAATGTCCCGTGGTGTCCCGTGGTGTCCCGTGGTGTCCCGTGGTGTCCAGTTGAGTGAGATCGATAGTGAGATCGATTGAGTCAGATGTTGGTTCCCCCCCTCGCGCGTGGCCGCATGTTGGTTCCCCACATCTCTCCCACCCACAGAACCTCCTTATCACCCGAAGGGTGGTCGTGTATATATCTATATATATATATGAATACATCCACACGCCCTGCAGAAGAGCTGCTGGTCGAGATCTAAAGAAGCTAGATGACGAGAATCAAAGATAGAGGCGAAGCCGAGGGAGGCAAGCACCCGTGTCTCCTCCGCCATCACTCCCCTTGTCCCTCGGCGAACCCGTCGGCCCAGGCTCGGAACTGGTACAGGGTGTCATGTGGCTGCTTTGCGCCCTCAGCATTCCGATTCTCGGGCCTAAAGGAGACCCGTCAAATGAAGAGCAAAAAAGAAGGCGGACATCTATGGGAAAACATATCACTACTCTGCCTACGACGACCCTCGCACACACTGCCAGCACGACATTGCTCAGCACTCCGAGCGTCACGCTATGTTATAAGGCTTCGCACGCGCTCGCGCTCTGGAAGTTCAAGTTCGCACTCACATAGTCTCGAAACTTCTGCTGCTGCTGACGCGGCTTGGCTCCTTGTTCCTGCGAGCCCTCTGGGCGCCCGAACGCCTGGCCTGCCTGGCATGAGCCTCTGCAGGGCCTTCCTCGCAGGCGACCTGGCCAGACATGAGAAAGCTCCCCCAACCGGACGACGGCCAGCGTGCTGTGTCAACCCCTCGTTGCTGCAGTTCCTGGCCGGAGGGATCGGCAACAACAACCTGCACGCCTCGTGGGCTGCGGTGTTGAGGCCGCCCGCACTCCGTACTCCAACGCCCCGGAAGTTCTGGATGCCAGGCAATCGCGCGCGCCCCTCGCTGGCGCCGGCCCGGGGCGATCGATGATCGTGGAACGGCCCAGGCAAGACCATTTCCCGAGGCGCCAGCGGGATCGGGATCGGGATCGAGATTCGGAGGAGTTCTGTGCGCTTGCGCTTGAACCAACATGGCTTGAGCCAAGCTGCCAATGGGGAATGAGCGAAAGCAGATCAACAAGGACCGAGGGGTCTTGCCGCAGATGTTTGTGAACCAGAACGGAAGTTCCACTGTGACCTCCTGCCGTGCCGACTCCTGGTGTTGAGTTCAGAGTCAATCCAATGTTGGCCATTCGCTTGGCTGTCTCTGTGAGCTGGGTGTTCCGACGATGGGTTGCAAACAACGTTACGATCGTGACTGTCTCGCTCCCCCTGACGAGTTCAGGGAGTCATAGGTGCCCCCCCCCAGCATGACGTGTTGTTCGCGAATAAGGATTCAATCCAGTGAAGATCTTCTCGTAAGCCTCTCCACCACTCCAGACAAATCATTTGGGACAATTATGTGGGTGTCTGCAACGCCTGTCCCACCACGAAAAGTTCCACGAGACGGGTTTCTTGTGTCGCGCTCTGCCCAACCTCCAGCAGATTCCTCGTCGCGGGTACAAGGCGACAGGGTCTCAATCTTCGCTGGCCAAGTGAGAGTATCCCTCTCCCTCCTCCTAAAAATTGATGCGGTGCCCTGGCTGCGGGCGCTCGCACCGTCGCAGAATTCGGGGTGGGTTCACCCTCGTCAGAAAAGTTGCCGAACCCGGTCATGGCTAAACTCGCCCTGAATTCGGGGGTGAACGGCTGCGTCCGTCACGTCCGAGTCGGGCCATCCCTGGTGCGATGAACTGCCGCGAACTGCTGCATCACCAACAGCAGCAGCACCCATGTCCGTATCCCGTAGGGAAACACCCAGGCCAGAAGCCGACGTGGCCGCCGCGCTGGTTCGGCAAAAGCAGCAACAAAGAAGTAACCGTCGCTGGTTCTTCTTTGTTCTCGATGAGAGCAAGCGCTTCGTTGGTTCTCTCGCTTGTTCTCGTTGAGAACAACAATCCTGTGGGCCGCCGCGAGGAGAACAAGCGAGCCAGGAGACGGCGTGGCAAGCGGACGAGAAGGGGGTAGGGGGAGGAGTCGACGAGGAGGAGGAGGAGGAAAAGGAGGGGAACCGTGTGACCGTTTGGCTTACAGCAGTCCGAAGATGACACCTGATTGTAACTGCATGCTCTGGCCAGGCTAAGCTCCACGACCTGCCCTGGCCGAGCCGCCATCCCTTGGCCCGAACACCCTGCGCAGCCGGGAGGACCGCCGGCAGAAGGGACGGGACAGGAGACTGACGACGACGACGACGACGATGACGACGACGAGGACGGCGGCGGCGACGGCGGCCGCGGCGGCGGCGGCGGAGGCGGCCTCCGTTGCCTCGCTTCTCCAGCTCCCGCTTCCGCGCGCGGCACTCCTCCTGGCCTCTCTGCGGGGGCGGACGTGGGGCGGGGGGCGAGGCGCGAGGCGCCGAAGGGCGGCGCGGGCTCCGGGAGTGGCCTCGTGTCCGAAGGACCACGGTGGCCGATACCGCTCCCTCGGCGGAAGGCGGCGGACGGGCGGCGGAGGCGGGCGGAAGCAAAATGGTGACGGGACCGCCGGCGAGAGCGGGCGGAAAGGCGGCGGAAGCCGGCGGAAATCGAGATCGCCCCCAAGACATGTCAGGTTTTCTGGGTTCGGCGTCTCCGGAACGGGCCATGTGACCGCACGACCACTGAAGGCTCATCGTCAACCACACACAGTTTCAGCGATGAACGGCAAGCACCATGCAAGACACTGTCTTGTGCAACCAGGAGAAAAAAAAGGGGGAGCGGAAGGGGGAGGGAAAGGGAAGGGGCGAGGGGAGGCACAAGGGGGAATCGGCGGGGACATGAAGAGCTGAAGGAAGAGGGGGAGGAGGGAGAGGAGGGGGAGGAGGGGGAGGACACGGTAGAGTAGGGAGGAGGGACGAATTCACGGAAGACATCAGGGCCGTCATGCCTCATCAGGATTCGGCGAGGCCCCTGGCACGACGATCGTATACCATTCCTACTTAGTCTGCCGCGCCCTGAGCGGCCCAGCTTCTGTAACGCGGGTGGCCCACCATTATGGTGAGGGCTTTGGATAAGGAATCCTTGGATAAGGAACCCAGGGCCCAGAAGCCAGTGGCACGCCAATTCTAGCTTGGCCATGGAAACTACTGCCGCCCTCATCAGATGTGGAATCCTCAAGGGTCTGAAACCTCATGCTTCTCCTCCTCCTCCTCCTCCTCCTCCTCTTCGTCCTTATCATTGTGGTCATCATCCTTCTTTTTTTTCTCATCCTATGTTTCCTCCTCTCCCTCCGCCTCTGCCATGCTCCGCCTCCGCCTCCATATCCTCCTCTTCCGCCTCTTCATCCTCCGCCTTCGCCTTCCCACGGCTTGGTTGTAGCCTGGATCCCACCGTCGCTTTGCCCCCGCACCCCCAGCACCTTGCAAGATCAACTCGTCGATCTTGCTGGTCAGATGGTCCCAGATGGCCTGGGTGTCAGTCCGCAGCAGGCCGGAGTCCGAAAGCGAAACCTCGCCTGAAGGTCGGAGCGACAGACAAGGGAGCGAAGGAGGAGAAGTAAGAAAAAACCTGTGCACCGGCCTCTCTGGGGCTTCTTCCGCGGGCCAGCTCTTCGAAAGACGAAGACGCGCGGGAAGCAGAGAGCCAATGGAGAAACTCTGAAGTCCCTCCCGATAAACACTGGGAAACCCTTACAAGGACAAACGCTCCAGAGGTGCTGGCGATCTGGGCTGGGTTAGAGCGGTTCCTCGAAAGGAAAATCCCGAACCAACCCTAGGAACCACCTTCCTTCTTGGTCTGGTTAGGGTTTCCTACCCCCTCAATCACGAATGCGGAAAAGGGGGGCGGACGGATTAAACAAGAAAGTGGCAAGAGAGCAAATGCGGTCTTGACACCACCTCCATCTTCCCCTCCTCCGTCCTTCCCCTCCTCCTCCAATCCTCCTCCCTCCTTGTTCATGCCTTCTCCTCCTGTTAATACAACAGTCCTTCCCGCCTCCACCATCCTATCTCTCTGCCCCTTTCTCCCTATCCCTCCTCTCTCTCTCTCTCTCTCTCCCCCTCTGCCTCCCTTCGTCCCTCCTCCCTCTTCGTCCTGCTCCTTCTCCTCCTCTTCCTCATCCTCCTCCAACGCGCTCGTTCCCCAGCAAAGCGCACAGGAGCCGGTATCCCAAGCTCGGCACTGGAGACAATCACAAAGACATCGTGCCGAGTCGGATGGCTGGGTCGTCTACATCATACTGGTCCGCATTTTCATTATCCGCCTCCTCCTTCTCCTCCTCCGTCTGTTGCTCTTCCTCCTGCAGTTCCAACTTCTTGACCACTCCCCCTGCTTCCACTTCACTCCCATCCCAATTCCCAATTCCCACTTCCCATCGCCTCACAGCAGCATCCACACAAATTCCCGACCTGGACTCAGAAATTGTCCAGCGGATGCTCAGGCGTACCACTTATCCCTTCCCCATCATAATTTGTTATGTATGTCCCTCCATGCTTATATGTATACTCATTTGTCTATATACAAACATACATATATCGGAATGTGTATATATCTCAAACAAGCATGTAGCCCATGCAAATGTGGTACAAGCTATGTGGCGCAAGCTGTGTCGTGTAAGCTGTATCGTGCAGGGTATGTGGTGATATCTACGTGGTGCAAGCTATGTGTTGCAAGCTAGGCGGTACAGGCTAAACGGTGCAATCTATGTGGTGCAGGCTTTGTGGTGCAGCGCACGATGCGCCATCGGGCGAGCACCCAGCGAAAACCTGGAAACGGATGCCATCGCACGGAGGGCCCACGAGGCGCCCACGGGCGGCCAGCAGGCGAAAGCCGGGCAACCAGGCTGTCGCACGAGGAGCCCGCGAGGCGCCCGCGGGCGGCCACGGAGCGAAAGCTCGGAAATCTTGCCAGCATACGAGGAGCACACAAGCGCCCTCGGGCGGCCACTGGGAGAAAACCCTGGAAACCCTGCCATTTAGCTGGAGCACAAGAGGGCAATCCTCAGTGCAAGCACAGACTGGGAGCACCTGGCTGGAGGATGAAGAGAAGGACTGCGATGCGATGCGATGCGATGCGATGCGACCCCCGTTGCGGACAGCGCCCGGGCCTACTCAAGACTGGGTGGGCGAGGCCGTGGCCTCGGGAATCTGGCGTGTCTGGATAACATGCAATGCGAGACACATGCGCAAACCAAAATGGGAGGAGGGACGGGGGGAGGATGGTCCTTGGGGTCGGTCGCGTCAGCCTGTGTAAGAAGAAAGAAGGGGGGAGGAAGAGGGGGAAGTCCTTGGTGTCGGCGTCGACGCGGGATGGGCGTGTCGTCTCGACTCTCGCTGGGCGTTCGCGTCATTGGTTTCGGTTCTGGGTGTCTGCTGGTGTGGGGTCGACGTAGTGGTGCTCGAACGCCGTCGATGTTTCGGTGTCCTGTGCTGCAAGTATCCATGTGATGTCGTTTGGTTCTCCTGTCTTTTGATTTCGTCGTCCCAACGCTTGCGTTGACGACCGTGCTGCCTCTGTCCTCGATGCCGTGAGTTGAGGTCCGGTCACCATTGCCACAGTGTTGTGTCCAACGTGTTTGGGTGTGGTTTGCGACTCTTGAATCCATTCGCCATACTGTTTGCTTGCGAGCCGTCTCCCAGGTTGCCGATGCAACGGAGCTTCGTGAGGTGTTGTGCACGTCGTGTCGCTCGCTCTATATACTCGACCCAGGGTGCCTCCAGGTCTGTTGTAGTGCTGACTTCGCCATCTTCGCTGTGCACGTCAGGTGTGGCAGGTGTGTCGCGCTGGGGTGGGTTGCTGTCTGCGTCGTCGCTAGTGTTGTTGTTGCAGTGGTCGTTGTTTGGTGCGTCGTTGTCTGGTGTTTCGTTGTCTGGTGGTAACTGGCTGCTGCGAGAGTCAGTTGGCGCTCTGATGATCATGCGAAACATGCGTCGTTGTGTCCGTCGTAGGTGCTACAATCAGAGTTCCGTGAGTGCCCATGTCTCTGCATCGTATAGTGCTGTCGGTGTTACTGTGCTGTTGAACAGGCGGAGTCGGTGAACCAGTGGGTAGTACTTGCTAATCGGCTCTTGTTTGCGAGAAGTAAACGATGCCCATGCAGCTCCCATACGGTGCTGAATATCCGTGTCCATCGGTTCGCGGAAGCTGATCAGTTGGCCGAGGTACCTGAGATTGCCCTCGTATGGGAGATTTCTATAATCATGTCTTGGACACGTGCTGTGCGTGAGCTCACCCTTCCAGTCCTTCTCGTCTGATCGCTGAATATGTTGGTTTTGCGCGGGTGCAGTTCGAGCCCACGTAGCTTTGCCGCGCGCGCAATGTCGTCGAGCATCGAGGTCAGACGCGGGAGAGTTTGGCTGGTCAAGAGCACGTCGTCGGCGAAACGTGGGTTGGTCAGCGTTGCGGCGCTCGCGGATCCCAATTCAATTCCCTTCTTTTATTGCACTTCGGAGATAAGCGGACCAAGGATGCGCTGGAGAAGCGCGTTGAAAAGTAGGGAGCTTAGCGGGTCGCCCTGCTTCGTGCCCCGCAAAAAGTTGAAGGGTCTGATGCTGACGTCTGTCGTCGCCGTGGCAGTCTGCCCCATCATAGAGCTGTTGGAGTAGAGCAATGTATCCTGGTTGGATTCGCTGCGCCTTCAGTGCTGCTCAGCTGCTCTCGTGCTCAACTGAATCAAAAGTTTTTGTTTCGAAATCGAGGGCTGCGACCCACATGTTTGATCCCGTTCGTTTGCTCGCTCGCGTAACACATGGATGGTGAAAAGGCGGTCAGTAGTCGAATGACCTGGTCTGAAGCCCGCCTGGTCGTCAGTCTGGTGGGAGTCGCGCGTTGGTTGTAGTCTGTTGTATAGCAGTCGGCTGAACAACTTGTACAGCAGTGGTATCGTGCACATGGGACGGTAATTCTGTGGAAGCGCGAAGTCTCCACCTTTCGGGTATGCCTGTGATGACTGTACTATTCCAGCTTGCCGGCGGCGGGGCTTCGCGCTGCAAGATGGTGTGTTGTAGAGGTGGAGAAGTGCACGTCTGAGTTCCTCCGTGCCTTCTTTAAGATTTTCTGCGCGGATGCCTTTCGTGTCTGGGGCTTTACGAAGGCGGGGACCTTTGATTGCCTTGTGAAGCTCTGTCGGCGTGAAGGGTGGGAGTCGGTGGGTCTGCTGGTCGCTGGTCGGCGGTGAGTCTGCTGGTCTGCTTGTCGGCGGTCGGGGGTTGGTGTGCTGGTCTGCTGGTCGGTCGGTCGGTCTGGTATGTGGTCTGCTGGTTTGCTGGTCTGCTGGTCGGTCTGCTGGTCGGTGGTCGGCGGGGTCGTCGTTTGGTCGCTGCGGCAGTCGGTGGGTCTGCTGGTCTGCCAAACGTCGGTCGGAGGTCCGTCGGCTGTTTTGCCGGTCGGTCGGTCGGTCTGGCGCGTGGTCTGCTGGCGTGCTGGTCTGCTGGTCGGTTTGCTGGTCGGTGGTCGGTGGGGTCGTCGTTCGGTCGCTGTGGTAATCGGTGGGTCTGCTGGCCGCTGGTCGTGAGTGGGTCTGCTGGTCTGCTGGCCGGCGTTCGGAAGTCGGTCTGCTGGTCTGCTGGTCGGTCGGTTGTCCTGACGCGTGGTCTGCTGGTTTGCCAGTCTGCTGGTCGGTCTGCTGGTCGGCGGTCAGCGGGGTCGTCGTTTGGTCGCTGTCGTAGTCGGTGGGTCTGCTGATTGCTGGTCGGCGTTGGGTCTGTTGGTCCGCTAGCTGGCAGTCGGAGGTCGGTCTGCTGGTCTGCTGGTCGGTCGGTCGGTCTGGCGCGCGGTCTGCTGGCGCGCTGGTCTGCTGGTCGGTCTGCTGCTTGGTCTGAAGGGAGAGAAAGAGGAGGAGGAGGAGGAGGAGGAATTGGTCGGTTTGTCGGTCGGTGGCTCTGCCTGCGTCGTCTCTATTGTCGAGCTGTACTTACGTCTTGGAACTGCTCAAATATGTTTGCTATGTGGGCCCGTCGTGTCGTCCGCTTCTGCGCGCGGATCTCTTGCTGCGTAAGTTTACTCAGCTGCTTGCGGGCGTGGTGGTCGTCATTTGGCGTCTTCTGTCGCTGTGTGATCATCAGACTGTCTATTCGTGCTGGTCCTTGGTCGGGTTGTGGTTTCGCTTGCGGTTTGATTGGGGTCGCTCCGTCTCTGCCGTTCCAAGAAAAAATCCTGGGGCACTGCTGGCGGCAGCGGCGTCCAGGATGACTTGTTGGATGTGCTCGCATAGCGCTTCCGGGTCGGAAGGTAGATTGTACTGGTGAAGTTTCAGCCGTTGGTGGTCATGGTAAACTCGCGCATTGGTGATCTTTCCCATCAGAGATTTGGGCTGAAGGCGCGGTGCTGGTGACGTCGTTCGTCATCGTGTCGTGGCCGTGTGGACATCATTGTTGCTTGAATGTGCAACTCGGCAGTAACAGCCTTATGGTCGGAGCCACAACGTGCGGTCCAGCAGTACGTAATCGAGTTGCTTGTGCTCGTCGCCGTTGGTGTAGGTGATTTGTTTGTGCACAGGTTTGCGAAACAAAAAATATT